TCTCGAAAGTTGCAGAGCTTCATAATAGAAATTAGATAAGGTTTGCACCTCGTTTTATTGTTTAATAAGTGTTCTTAAGTGATGCATTGCGTTTTTGTGAATTTTTGCAAAGTTTTGGAAGTATGTGTGATTTTAAATAATTTCTACGCTCCAAAGAGCTACGTGTGTTGAGCTTAAATAAATATTTAGAAAACGAAAAGCTTATTTAAGAGTTTTTCACTGAGCTTTAAGCTTAAAAGCTTTCACTATTTCATTAAATCTGCTAACCAAAAACTTCTCAGAGACTTTTACGCTTGAAAGCTTTCACTGCTGTCATAAATCTGATAAATATCACCTTCACACATAGTTTTATACCTGATAGCTTTCATTATTTTATAAAATCTGMTAAATAAGAAATACCAAAAAACGCCCCAACAGCCATTTTGAGTTAAGTTTATCGACACCACTAATATGACTAAACAAAATGACGATTTTTYGAGACGCTTCAAGTGATCAAAAAAATTCATGAGTTGTCTCTTAAATTATATCACACTGTATGTGCATAGCTATAAGAAAGTAAAATTTTTGTTTCCAAAACATATCTATCAGTTTTATTCTATTTCAGTTCTAGAACACAGCACATCACTACACAATCAGCACGTATTTAAACGCTTAATAGCCCAAACACACAAAAAAATGAATAAAATCAAACCAACAATTTTTTATAAATGTTAAAAAAATATATTTAAAAAAATGAAAGTTTACTATACGAAGAGTAAAAAAAAATACAAACAGTAAATAGTCTTAAAAATACATATATGTATACAAAATACAAAAAATAATTCTGAAATAACTAAAATTCAAACAATTTAACAGAATCTATAATATAAATATACACTGTCACTATTTATAAAAATATTATATTAGTTTTTTTTGCCAAACCACGTGCTTCAGTGTATTGTATTGACCTTTTTAAAACTTAAAAAAATGAAGCTCGAAAACATGCGCTTAAATGTAGACTAGAAAATTGACACGCTTCTCACGTAGTGTTTTGCTTGAGCTAAGCTTGTTTAAGCGAGTTGCTGCTGTAGTGCACTTTTCGGCTGATTCGCTTTTGAGCAAGCTGAATGCCCGTTGATTTCAGGCTTGTTCATTTTATTTGCGATACAAATTTGGAAAATTGCTTGTGCTGCAAGTAGCTGCTATTTTTTTTTTTTGATATTTTAAACGCATTTTACTTTGTAGTGTGCATTGTTGTGATATTTGTTGTTTAGTTGAACGAAAATAAACCAAAACATATGCTTATATTAACCAGAAAAATAGACATCTTAACAAGCTAAGAATAAGCCAGTTAATGTTATTAATATTGAAAAATATTTCGGTTTTATATTTTCGTATTCTGTTTATAGAAAACAATTTTATTTTTTAATTTCTAAATGATTTTAATTACTTTAACGTTTTTAGTAAGAAAAAACATTTATCTTTAAAAATATTGTTAKGGAAGCATTTGATCGATGGTATTTATTGCGTTTTTGGCTTTGAATTTGGTTACAATCGTTCTTCAAAATCACGTACAATTGTTCTTCCACAATTGCGGCCGTTTTCGGCGGAAGTTCACACGCAATCACCTCAATATGCCCAAATACCCGTCTCGATCGTGTGTGCCTCCGGAACAAATTCCTGTTCCGGAGATCCAGAGATAGCTTCACGAAACTTGAGTTATTTGCTAGGACAATGATGGTGTCTTTGAAGACCCTATTGAGAACACTATTGCAAACTGATCGATTAAAATCAAGTGCTTGCGTGGAAGCTAATTTTTTT